TTCTGTGAACGGATATATTAGAAAATTCTTGGCTTGCAGGATAAAAAAGAGCACGAATAACCAAAGGTTTACATATAAATTATATTATCAGAGAAATAATTTATTATATTTATTATTATTATTTATAACAAGCAAAGCTGAACTGAGTTATACTAGGGTTGAGTGACAAAATGTCTCATTTTCTTCACATGCCAAAAATAAATGTAAAAAAATAAACTCATGATGTCAAATATTAATTAGCAGTTAAATTATTCTCAGTAGTTCTACATAATGATGGATATGAATGCATATATAGGGAGACTGCTAAATTCATTCTTTTTATCAAAGCAATATTAAAAAAGAATTAGAAAATGCCGGCCAGACTTTATCAAAAAGGATTTAAAGAGTGTATTGGTTGAATCAGAAGTTAATTTGGATTGATGATGATGAGACAGAGGATTTAGAAATTTGCGATATGGATTTAGAAAAAAATTTTTTTTGGAAGACAACGATAAATAGATGAGGATATGGAATTGGAAAGCCATAAAGATTGAAATGATGATGATAATAATAAAGTTCACGAATCAATGAACGAAAATTTATTTTCGGAAATAGTAAATGAAGAAGCATTTCAACAATCACAAATTCTGTAGAAAGCCGTGAAATGTGAAGCAGTAATTACTACTAAAACTTTACATACAAAAATTAAGTATCCACGATTATGATTTTTGTTTTATACTTTTGTCATTTTTGTCACACGTTCCCGATGAAATATTTTTTACACTCTAAAATGTTTTCGTCGCCCAACCTTAACTTAAATTCGGCTTAAACATAGAAAAGCACTAATTCAAACCTCATCTCGAGCTCAAAAACCAAGTTCAAGTTGAGCTTGAGCAACTTGAAATTTTATAAACCATTATAATTGTAGGAGTAAGACAATAATAAAAATATTTTTACTATAATGGATTATGCATTTAAGTCATCATCCGACAGACTAAAAATTTCAAATGATCTATTATTTGTGCTTTTTATAAAAAATGTTATTAGGTTCTGAAGTATATGCATACAAACATCTTTATTATTATTTAGTTGAGCTGAATTACTTGTTTACTCAAGTTATTCATTATATTCGATTCATTTATTCATTCATTCAAACTATTTTGAATTATTTGTTTATTTATTTTATTCGATGTAAAAACAATAATTTAGAGCAAACTTCATTTAAACAGAAACACAATGTTGAGCAGATTCAAATTAAAACTTGAATTTTTAAGTTCAAGAAAACAGGCTCTTAAACTGTTTTTTAAGTAATGAATTTGATAAATAAAATGAAATATATAGTATAATTATTTGTTACTTAAAAAAAAAATATTAAATTTAAGTTATCAAGTCAAGTTGAGCCTATTGTTTTTTGATTTGAACTTGGCTCAAACTCAAAAAATTCGAGTTTCAACTTGAGCCATCTTGGTTTGTTCAGAAGAATGTTTAAAGAGAACAAATAGCCTTTAAATATAATAATCTTTAATTAAAAAATTTATCTTCAATAGTTATAATACATATAAATTTATCAATATTAATTATTTTTGTAATTTATATTTTTTATTAATTATTTGAAACACTTCTATTTACTACCACCTACTATATTAATGTTATCATAAGAAAAACTTGCATATTGAATAACATGATTTGACATAAAACCAAGATCAACACCACCAAAAAGAGCTGAATATGAACCATGACACTGAATTGCCCATCAATAATTATTAATAACATAACTAAACTGTGCAGAATTAGTATTATTTCTATTACTAATATTAAAAATAAAACTTTCAGTTGTATTTTTAATTACACCCTCTCCATTATTTAAATTCCAATTAGGTGAATTAATTGATCTGAATTCTGTATTTTGCCAACTACGAGAATATTATTGAACTGTCACGTTTTCGTTTAAAAACTTGTTCTTCTTAAGAAATCAGTTATTATTTATTTTAAACGATAATGGTGATCATCACAGAAATTTTCCAAAAATCGTTACAGATTTATTAAAAAGTCAAAATATTCGTTACATGATTCAATGTCAGTTTTTTTATAGTTCTAAAATTAATATTAACTTATTTACATCAGATCTACTACGGACCCAAGAATTATAGCACTATCAGAAGTATTTTTAGAAAGGAACAAGGTGAAAAAAAATTACTCTTTATATCTTCAAAATAAATAATACTCTGACATTTTGAAGCTTATTTAAAAATAAAGGATTGCCTATGAAATTTATCAAGAAAGAAAATTCATAACTAACTAAAAATTACAGATATTTATTTATAATATAATAAAAATAAAATTATAATCAAATTTGTATCTAGATGAATTTATTTTTTTATCAATAATTTGAAAAACTTACTATTCATCAAATTCACCACGATCTAATATCATGATGTATATATTCTTGAATCATTATCAC